CCACCACCATTCATTGAGAACTGTTACGTGCTGGGTCCTGCATATACATCACCTGATGACCCTCAGCACTGCTCTGCAATGTATTCTCATCTCTCAAGAGATCAGGAAACTAATGCTCAGGGGGAAAATCGTTTGCCCAAAGTCACAGCTATCAAGTGGCAAAGCTTTGTTTTGAGTCCACATTTCTCTAACTAAAACACTACCTTTCAACTTTAGGTTTTTGCCTCTCAAGACTAGATTTCTATTTCATTGAGTGGAACCTGACCAAGGGCAATTCAATAAAAAATAGAAATAACCTTTCAAAAGATATTAAACCTCACTACTAATTACGAAGATGTATATAAAACAAAAAACAATTTATTTTTACAGTGACATGACTGGAAGGTCTAAAAGACTGATGTCCCTTATTAGCAAGGTCATGAGAAAATGGACACTACCTTGGCCCAAATTTAGAACTATGTGAGGCAGCATTTAAATGTTATAACTATACAAATCCTGTGAACCAGTTCCCAGAGCTTCATTTGAGACTACAGGAACTACTCCTAGAGTGTCTGGGTGGCTCAGTTGGTTGAGCGTCTGACTTCGGCTCAGGTCATGATCTCATGGTTCATGAGTTTGAGTCCCACATCGGGCTCTGCGCTGGCAGTGTGGAGCCTGCCTAGGATTGGGCACCTGGGTGGCTCAATCAGTTAAGCGTTCAACTTCGGCACAGGACATTATCTCAGTTTCGTGAATTCGAGCCCCACGTTGGGCTTTGTGCTGACAGCGTGGAGCCTGGAGCCTGCTTCGAATTCTGTGTATCCCTCATTCTCTGCTCCTCCCCCACTTGCACTCTCTCTCTCTCAAATATAAATAAACATTACCCAAAAAATAAAGGAACTACTCACACATGTACATGAAGATGTCTGCAGAGATATGCTGACAGATAAGGTTTACAATGAATAAAAGCTGAAAAGAATCTAACTGGGAAAATTATTAAACAGTAATGCATCTACACCACTGAAAACTAGGCAAATATTAAAAAGTGATGATGTTGGGTGCCTGGGTGGCTCAGTCGGTTAAGCGTCCGACTTTGGCTCAGGTCATGATCTCGCGGTCTGTGAGTTTGAGCCCTGCGTCGGGCTCTGTGCTGACAGCCTGGAGCCTGCTTCAGATTCTGTCTCCCTCTCTCTGCCCTTCCCCCGCTCATGCTCTGTCTCTCTCTCTGTCAAAAATAAACCTTAAAAAAAATTTTTTTTAAAGTGATAATGTTGCCCTAATTTTGATGAAATGGGTGAAACCAGTGTGTTTACAAAAAAAATCCCAACATCTGTAGTATTACACTATTTTGACAGAAAAAATCACATGTATACCTAGGAGAAACAGTTAAAATGTTTACAGTAAGAGCCAGCAACACACACCACCACATTAAACATATTAAAGCACATAAATACTCCAAATAAGGAAAAGATTTTCTCATTTCAAGATCTTCTTTCAGTCTTCTGTTGACCTGAGAAAAAAAAACTCAGAATATTCTAAGAATAGCTGTTTTTCCTGAGTGACTTCTTTTTTACTTCAACTTTTAATTCATGAACCAAGTCTATGACTGAATTTGCCCATGTATGCTGGAGTACTATCTAGAAATCAATGGTAAGAAGTCCCTGACTGATGTATTTTAAGTACTGACAGCTGTCTCATCACTGCTTCCTTTCATATCTTAGAAATGACTTCATTTTGCTTCTGAGCCAATCCACTAGGCTAAGATGCCTATGAAGCCTCCAACAACTATTGTATTTCCTTGCCCTACTAGTCTGACTTTGTATAAATCATCATTAAAATAAAAACTGTGAGACAATAACTGTACTGGAATTAAAAGAAAATTAAAAAAAAACCTATGTGACAAATCTTTTTTTATAAATTCTTTTTTTTCATGTTTCAGTTTTTTTTTTTTAAGTTTGTTTATTTTTGAGGAAGAAGGGGGGAGAGAGAGAGAGAGAGAGATAGCACAAGCAGGAGAGACACAGAATCTGAAGCAGACTCCAGGCTCTGAGCTGTTAGCACTGAGCCCAACTTGGGGCTGAAAGCCACACACCATGAGACCATGACCTGAACCAAAGTCAGACACTCAACCAAATGAGCCACCCAGGCGCCCCAGCATAAATCTTACTGTAGGAAATCCATTACCTCCAGACCTCATAGCTTCAGTATAATCTGGACAAAACTTGATGATTCTAGCTGTCATCAGATTAATATCTCTTCCTTCAATCATGAAAGGTTACTGAGTAAGGCAGGAAGAATTTTTTTAAGTATGCATAATGATGAGACTTGGTATACTGTTATAATCACTAAAATGGGCTTTGGTGTGACACTTCCAGGATATAAATCTCAGCTCTGATAGTTATTAACTGTGTGATCTTGGACATGTTACTTAACTTTTCAGACTTCGTCGCCTCCTATAAAAAAAAAAGTTGATAATTATAAATTCTATCTCAAAGGGTTATTATAAGAATTAAATAAGACACTACATATAAGAAAGCACTTAAAGTAGCAAATAAACATTAAATAAAAGTCAGCTATAGCACTGAAGATGAAGAATAGTATATACTCCTTTCCCTAATTATTAAAGAAAATTATCTTCTGCTCTTTTCTTCTTCCATAAAAAATTTGAGCTCAGCCTTGCTCTTTCTTACAATGCTAGCTAATAAATTTCAAACTTCATATTGATAAGCAATTCCTCTTGATTAACAACAATTTACAAAAGGGAGTATGTGGATGGATGAAGCAAATGTGAAAAAAATGGAATTACAACATAATAGTAACTATTAAATCTACTGAACACTTTTTATGTGTCAAGCATTATCTGAGGACTTTATTTTTTATTTTTGTAATTTTTATTTATTTTTGAGAGAGAGAGACAGAGTGCGAGCGGGGGAGGGGCAGAGAGAGAGATGGAGACACAGAATTTTTTTTAAACATCTCATCCGAGCTGTCAGCACAGACCCTGATGAGAGGCTGGAACTCACGAACTGATGATGACCTGAGCCGAAGTTGGACGCCCAAAGACTGAGCCACCCAGGTGCCCCCTTAGGACTTTATATATATTAATTACCTATTCAAAGCAATCCTATACAGTAGGTTCTGTCATTATCCTCTTAAAGATGAAAGAACTGTAGCACAAAGAAATGAAATAAATTACTCTGATTCACCCAGCTCTAACTGACAGTTTTAGGACTAGAACACTGGTAATTTAGTACCATAACTAAACTGCCTCTCATAAAACCACATAAGTATATGGCCTGAAACAACTCATGTTGTCAAAAACTTCAAACCATTTCTCAAGTTTCTACCAGCATCTTCTGTTTCCTTCCCTTGTTAACACAGTACTCTCCCTTAAAAACCCTGTCACACTGCAACTCCTTACAAGCCTCAAAAGCAGAAAACCCTGCCACCAATTAAACCATCTCCAAACTTTCCCTGCTTGTGAATTCAGGGCAGAGGTGAAGATCAAAGACACCTAGCATATGATTCCAACTGAACTGTAATCCTCTCAACAAATCAAAGCCTAAAATAAAGCTCTGCAGTTGGCCTCCCTTCAGGAGGTTTACTTGCAAGCCATTTAAATGATTAGAAAGCAACAGCTCACAGGAGGAATTAAATGACTGCCAAATGTTCATGTGAATACCCACAGGAGAGGAGGCAGGAAGTAACCTCATCACCCCTATCATTCACTGGGAAAGAAGAGCAAAGCTCCAGGTCTATGGATAGGATATTTCCCGTGTTAAAGCCTAACCAGTTAAAGACTACCTGGAACAAGCCTGTAGAATCCAACAAAATCAGATTTATTGATTTAAGAGAGGGAGGAAATTCCACAGGATGGGTTGGAATGCAATGGAGGAGGAGAAGAAAAGCTCTTTTGTAAAGGGTTGAGTTCCAACTGAAGGACTTTGAAGAGAATGTATGGGAAGCGGGGAACAATTCTAGAATGGTTGGTTTCTGAGGTAAGACTAGGAAAGGCTAGGATTAATTGGAGACTAAGTGCTATCTTGAAGGGAGGGTAGTTTAGCAACTGGGTATCTCCAGTAATAAAAATAAAAAATAGCAAAGCAAGTGTGGAGCTTCACTGTTAAAACAGCTGTAATCTCTCAAAGAGGGAGTTGTGATCGCATTTTACAGTTGCTGCATGAAATAATAATTTCTATTTTGCAGCTGGCTTTATCTGTCTCCTGTCTCCCAGCCTGATTAATGCAAATGCTTTTTCTCTTTTCAGTCCGCACTGATTTTTATTCTTTCTCAGGAGACTCAAAGGTTTTAAACCATGCACAGAAAAATAAAAGTTACATTTCACGGAACAAAGAAATACAAATTCGTCCTCATATGCTTTAGATAGACAAATAGATATAGACATAAAAATGGTTATTTCCTCTTTCTCTCCTTCCTAAAGATCAGCAGGACTGGGGGAAAAAAGACGGGAATCTTGAGACACTGAGCCTTTCTTGGAACTCAGCCCGACCTGGCTAACTCAGAACACACCCCCGCTATCACACTTGCTCCCACCATCACCACGCACATAACCCGATGGAAATTAAAGAGGGAGCCGGGAGGTAAAGCTCAGCCTTCAGAGAAAGGCCGAGTACAAAGGCCACGTCTGGAATCCGTCTCCGAATTTCCTTTACGAGGGAGCTCTGATTAAGCCGTGGTTCTGAGAGCAGCAGTTCTCGAAACCGTCTTTTTGTTGGGGGCCTTCACTCTGGGGTTCATGCATCTAACTCGAAGCCATTCTGGGCCGAGAAATCTGTGCGGCCCTTAAGCGGAAAGGGAAAGGACGCCTCAGGGCACCCAATGCCCAGTAGCGTCACAAATTCCACAGTCACTGCAACCCAGTTCACACAGAAGCCCGCGCCACCCCCGCGCCGCCCCCGCGCCCATTTCCTCAATGCACGCGACCAACTCACCTCTCGGAGCCTACACCAGCAAGAAAGCCGGAAGGAAACTACGAGCACAGGCCTGTGGGAAATGTAGTCTTCGGTAGGGAGGGCCCGCCCCCGCCCCAACTTGTTGCTCGGAGTGCGCAAGCGCGAATGCCTGCGGGAGAGAGCTAGATCGCCGGGCGGCATTTAGGGTTTGACGGTGGGCTACTAGGGGAGGGGCTTCAAGGCTGCCCAGGAATGGACGAAGCGAGTTCTGCGAGCCCGTTTTGTGTTTGTAGCTGAGGAAGCCCTAGTATGGCTTAGAATGCACTTGGCACCAACAAGCACATAATGTATGTACTAGGGGCGCAGCAGATGCTTAGTATATATGCTCAAATATATATGCATCAAGTACTCAATAAAAATATACCAGAACTAAAACAGAACCAGGATATAACAGAACCGGGAGCAGGACGACACGGAATGGTCCCCCGTGCTAGCTCGCTCTCCCGCCTTCCATTCCTTCCTCCTCTCGGTTTTTCGCCTTCTTGCAGTTGTGACGATGTTGTTCTATAAATTGTTAGGTTAAGATGGTTGATAAAATTGTTCCCCACCTTATTGGCCTTTCCTTTTTCTCCAGCTTCAGTTGCCAGCCATCAGTTGCCTTCCCGAAGCAGACAATCCTTCTTTGGTGAGGTCAGTAGTAGTCTAATGCTGTGTCAGAATGTGTAAATCATTCACCTCACTTCATTTCATTACTAGGCATTTTATCAAATCAGATCATAAGAAGATGGGTGAGTACAGTACAATAAGATAGTTTAAGAGAAAATGACACATTCACGTAACTTTTATTACACCATATTGTTATAATTGTTCTATTTCATTATTGTTGTTAATCTCTTGCTGTGCCTAAATTATAAATTAAGCTTTATTATAGGTATGTATGTATAGAAAAAAAGCAGTCTATATGGGGCTTACTATCCACCCTTTTGGTCATCACCTGAGGGTCTTGAAATGTGTCCTCTGAGGATAAGGGTGGGGGGACTATAAGGTGTGTCTATTACTGTTTTCCCTTTAGTTCTATCAAGTTTTGCTTCAAGTATTTTTGAGCTATGTATATGTGTGTGTGTGTATATATATATATATATATATACATATATACATATATATGTATATATAATACATATATATACATATACATATATATACATATACATATATACATATATATGTATAGTCTTCCTGATGAAGAAGATTGAAAAGTGAACATTAGGAAAAGTATCTTCAGAAGTGTTTCTCAGGTGACTAATAATTGAATTTGTTATGTCCTGGGTTTGGTTCAGGAAATAAATAGAATAAGCCCACCAGGATTTATCCATCATTGTAGCATCCTCCCATTTCAAATGTTTTGATACAGTAGTTCTCTCAAGAATATAAGACTTGGGGGGCCTGGGTGGCTCAGTTGGTTAAGTGTCCAACTTCAGCTCAGGTCATGATCTCATGGTCCGTGGGCTCAAGCTCCTCATTGGGCTTTGTGCTGATAGCTCAGAGCCTGGAGCCTGCTTCTGATTCTGTGTCTCCCTCTCTTCTCTGTCTCTCCCGCTCGTGCTCTATCTCTGTCTCTCTCAAAAATAAATAAATGTTAAAAAAAAAAAGAATATAAGACTTTACAAATTATTTGACAATGTCAAGGCTAATCTTATTAAGTCCCACTTTGCAAATAGGAAAATATATGTGAAGTAGAAGATACATGAAAATACAAATTCTATTTCTCCCTTTAGTTCATTCAGTTTTTATCATGTATTTTTAAGCCTGTTAAATAGTGTATACACATTTATGATTGTGTGTGTTCCCAATGAATTGACCCTTCTATTATGAAATATTTCTCTGTGTCTCTTGTCTTTAAAAAAAATTTTTTTTAACGTTTATTCCTTTTTGAGAGACAGAGACATAGCATGAGCGGCGGGAGGATCAGACAGAGGGAGACACAGAATCTGAAGCAGGCTCCAGGCCCTGAGCTGTCAGCACAGAGCCCGGCACAGGTCTTAACCCAGAAACTGTGAGATCATGACCTGAGCCTCAGTCAGACATTGTACTGACTGAGCCACCCAGGTGTCTCTGTGTATCTCTTGTCTTAACGTCTATTTTGACTAGTGTCAGTACAGTCACTATAGTTTTCTTATGCTTACTGTTTGGCTAATATATCTTTTTCCATTTTTTTTCTTGAACCTACCTGTGATTTTATATTTAATATACATTTCTGATAGATATCATGTAATTTGGGTTTTACATTTGTTATCCAGTATGACAGTCTCTTGGATTTTCATTGAAATACTTAGTCCATTTATATTTATGTTATTATTAACTTGGTTGGATTTATGTTTACTATTTGGTTGATACCTATTTACCACATTTTTTATTAACTACTTTCCTGTCTTTTTTGGAGAAATGATCATTTTTTCTGATAGATTTGAATTCTTCTGTTGGCACTCAGCTATACCTTTATGCATCTTGTTAGAGGTTGCTCAAGGGATTAAAATATGCATTCTTGTTTAAACATAGTTTACCTAGAATTAATATTGTACCACTCCATGTAAAATACGAGAACCTTGTAAACAATATCATTTCATTTATACTTCTTATTCTTTGTCCTACTGTTGGCATACATATTTCAGCTACATACATTCCATTATTTTGGTTTAAACAGTTATATATTTTAATAACTTATAAAGAAGGAAGTATATGTTATATTTATCCACATATTGACTATATCTGATGTTCTTCCTTCCTGTTGAGACTGTATTTTCATCTGAAGTCAGTTCTCTTTAACCTGAAGAGTTTCCTTTACCAGAACTGCAGTTCTGCTAGTTAAAATCTAAATATTCATTTATCTGAAAATGTCTTTATTTCATCTTCATTATAAAAGCATATTTTCTCTGGAAATAGAATTCTGAGTTGACCTATTTTTCTTTAGTTTTTCCAGATGTTATTCTATTGTCTTTTGGCTACCATTGTTTCGTCTTTTTTTTACATTATCAGAATTTTATTTTATTTTTTAATTTCAGGCATAGAGTGTAATGATTCATGACTTACATATAACACCCAGTGTACATCCCAACAAGTGTCCTCCTTAATGTTCCTCACCTCTTTAGCCTTTACCCAACCCAACATCCTGTCAGCAACCCTGTTTGTTCTCTGTATTTAAGAGTATCTTATGGTTTGTCTCCCCCTGTTTTTATATTATTTTTGTTTCCTTTCCCTTATCTTCATTTGTTTTGTCTTAAATTCCACATATGAGTGAAATCATATGGTATTTGTCTTTCTCTGACTGACTTATTTTGCTCAACATAATACACTCTAGTTCCAGCCACATTGTTGCAAATGGCAAGATTTCATTCTTTTTGATAGCAGAGTGATATTCCATTACACATACACACACACACACGCACGCACACATGCACACACACCACATCTTCTTTATCCATTCATCAGTCAATGGATATTTGGGCTCTTTCCATACTTTGGCTATTGTCAATAGTGCTTCTATAAACATTGGGGTGCCATGTGCCCCTTCAAATCAGCATTTGTGTATCCTTTGGATAAATACCTAAAATACTTAGTAGTGCAATTGCTGGGTCATAGGGTAGTTCTATTTTTAATTTTTTGAGGAACCTGCATACTTTTTTCCAAAGTGGATGCACCAGTTTGCATTCCTACCAGCAATGCAAAAGGATTCCTTTTTTCTCCACATCCTTGCCAACATCTGTTGTTGCCTGAGTTGTTAATGTTAGCCATTCTGACAAGTGTGCAGTGGTATCTCATTGTGGTTTTCATTAGTATTTCTCTGATGATGAGTGATGCTGAGCATTTTTTCTTGTGTCTGTTAGCCATCTGGATGTCTTCTTTGGAAAAGTGTCTATTCATGTCTTTTGCCCATTTCTTCACTGGATTATTTGTTTTTTGGGTGTTGAGTTTGATACGTTCTTTATAGATTTTGGATACTAACCCTGTATCTGATATGTCCTTTGCAAATATCTTCTCCCATTCTGTTGTTTGCCTTTTAGTTTTGCTGATTGTTTCCTTCACTGTGCAGATTTTTATTTTGATGAAGTCTCAGTAGTTCATTTTTGCTTCTGTTTCCCTTGCCTCTGGAGACATGTCAAGTAAGAAGTTGCTGCAGCCAAGATCAAGGAGGTTGTTGCCTATTTTCTCCTCTAGGATTTAAAAAAATTTTTTTAAATGTTTATTTAATTTTGAGAGAGAGAGAGAGACAAAGCGCAAGCAGGGGAGGGGCAGAGAGAGAGGGAGACACAAAATCCAAAGCAGTCTCCAGGCTCTGAGCTGTCAGCTACAACCCACGAAATATGAGATCATGACCTGAGGCAAAGTCAGATACTTAACTGACTGAGCCACGCACGTGCCCCTCTCCTCTAGGATTTTAATGGCTTCCCATCGTATGTTTAGGTCTTTTATCCATTTTGAGTTTATTTTTGCATATGGTGTAAGAAAGTGGCCCAGGTTCATTCTTCTGCATCTCACTGTCCAGTTTTCCAAACACCATTTGTGAAAGAGACTATCTTTTTCCATTGGGTATTCTTTCCTGCTTTGTCAAAGATTAGTTGACCATACATTTCTGAGTCCATTTCTGGGTTCTCTATTTTGTTTCATTGATCTATATGTCTGTTCTTGTGCCAGTACCACAATGTCTTGATGATTACAGCTTTGTAATACAGCTTGAAGTCCAGAATTGTGATGCCTCCAGCTTTGGTTTTCTTTTTCAGGATTGCTTTGGCTACTCATGGTCTTTTGTGGTTCCATACATATTTTAGGATTGTTTCTTCTAGCTCAGTGAAGAATGCTGGTGTTATTTTGATAGGGATTGCTGGCTACTATTGTTTCTAATTAAGTCAGCATTATTCATGTTTTTGGTCCCCAATATTTTATGTATTATTTTTCTCTGTCTGATTATAAGATTTTCTATTTATTGAATTTTGGTGGTTTGGTCATAATTTTGTTCTACCACACTCTGTCAGTACTCTCATTCTAGAACTCTAGTTATGAGTATTGTTCCATAGGTACCTCTGTATTTTTTCAATGTTTTTACTTTTTTGTATTTCAGATTGGATTATTATTGACCTATCATGGTGATCACTGACTGTTTCTTCTGATGCCTCCCATCTGTTCTTATGCTTATTCAGTGAAATTTTCATTTCAGTTTTTTTCAGTTATAAAACTTGCATTTTCAGTTCTATTTTATACATACTGATTTTCTGCTGAGGTTCCAGTTGTTGACTCAAAATGAACAAATCTTTTAGAATCTCTAAGAGAGTTTTTTAACATTTATTTATTTTTGAGAGACAGAGACAGGGGAGGGGCAGGGAAAGAAGGAGATACAGAATCCAAGGCAGGCTCCAGGCTCTGAGCAAGCTATCAGCATGGAGCCCAACATGGGGCTTGAACCCATAAACATGAGATCATGACCTGAGTCACAGTTGGATACTGAACAGACTGAGCCACCCAGGAACACCTGTGGAGAGATGTTTTTAAGATGCTGTAAACATCTGTTTTTCATCAGACTTTCACCTGCTACTTTTAGCATCCATTGATGATTCTTACCAGATCAATTATTATTGTGATGGTTGATTATTGGTGATAATCTAATTCCGCCATTCCTTCCACATTAGTAATTTGGTGTT